AGTTTTCCTCTGTAAAAATTGAATCAACAATTAATAAAGATCACAATTTGAGAAGTGCCTCGCAAAAAAAAAAAAAATTGGGGGTTTTTTTTTTTGCTTTTAGTATTTTGTAGATTCTTTTTTAATTGCAATACAAGCAGTAACCCAATTTGACATGCTCTTAATAAGATTATAGCAATATTTGGGTGGTATCTCCTGCCATGCCTGTCATACAAGAACATTAAGAACATTAAGATTATTTGGTTTTGGCTTATGATGTATAGATTTCTTAACTTTATTTCAAAGGTTTTCTATCAGGTTCAAATCTGAACTCTGTAAAGGCCAGTTCATTACCCTAATATTTTTATTTTTCATAAATTTCTTTGTGATTTTAGCAGTATGTAGTCTCACGTTGTCCTGTTGAAATAATGGGTGATCATGATTCTCATTTTCTGGAAATTTTTTTATAGCAGGTAAAACATTCTTATGAAAAATTTCGATATGTGAAGTACTAGTAGTGGAGGACTTTAATGAAATAAGAAGTCCAATTTCATACCAAAAGAAGCAACTCCAATATATATGACCAGGGCTATATTTAATGGTGCAACTTAAACATTCAATATCCCATTCCTCATGTGGCTCATGCCAAACCTGACAAAAGCATTCTTTAAAAAGATGAATTGTGGTCTTATCTGATCACAAAACATGTTAAAAGTGCTGAACAGACTAGTTTTTATGGATAAGAGACCAGTTAAGTCTTTTAATTGTATTTTCTGAAGAGACCAATGGCTTAGGACAAACAATACAGAAATTTAAACCTTCTTCATACAGTGTATGATAGATAATGCATTTTGAGATGCTAATTCCTTCCTAAGCAATAAAAAGATTAGTAATCTGAGAAAGGTTTAAATGGTGATTTTTGTTAATATCTAGATTTTTAAGTTTAGAATGGTTAGAAGGGATAAGCAATTTTAGATATCCCAGGCATTTATTTTTTTTTTGTGATTCTATAGTACCCGTCTTGCGAAACTCTTTAATAATGTTTTCTACAACAGATTTTTCATAACCCACCAGAGCTGCAATAGTACAAAGTGAATCCTTTCTAAGATATCCAAAAATAATGGCACCTCTTTATTCAGCTGTCAGATCTTTATTGTTACTCATTGCTCTAAAAAAAAAAAAGAATGATATCGTCGATTTTGCACTTATATACTTATTCATTATTTATTTGATATAATTTTAAATGCAATTTTATTAAATAAAATTATAAACAATAACAGTATAAAAATAAATAAATAATAAATAAAATAAATAAATAAAAATAAAAATAAAAAAATAACAATAATAAAGTTCTCTAATCTATTGAATCTTATTTTTTGTTCCCTAATAATAGTATAGTATCATATAAAAACCACGTAATAAAAAAATAACGAGACTTCAATGTTTTGAAAATTGAATATTGGAACAACAATATATAATAAAGATTAAATTTTTTGCGATTAATTTAATTATTATTATATCAAATTTCCTACTTTATTATAATAAATTGTCATCTTAAATTTAAAGAATAAATCTGTTCGACTGAAATTTAAAAAACTGCGCTTGATGGTCTTAACAATATAAATTTAGGGATTAATTCTTATTTCTGATTTCCGAATTTATAGAAATATACTGTATATAGTACTGTAATGGGTTTTCGGAGATGTAATTAAAACTTTTTCTAGCCTAGATTTTATTTCAGTAAATGAACAGACCTTAAAGTCTAGCTTTGAATCTGGTTCGGGTAAACAACTCTAGGTACGGGAAGTGATACAGTACAAATGTTAACATACTAATCCGTTTTAATAGACTCAACCAAATATCCCATGGCTCACAAAGTTTTATTAATGACTCATAAATATACTAAAGAATATGGTAAGTTAAATACAAATCGCGATAATACAGCATTTTTGCATACAAATGTGTTATCAATACTAAAATCCTAAATATAATGAATGTATTGGGAATTTAAATTGTTACAAGCTATTGGGGATTAAGTGTTTGATGTTGCTGTGATTGCTGTTGACTATATTGCTGTGGCTGTTGTGGTTGATTATATTGTGGCTGTTGTGGTTGTTGGGGTTGATACTGTGGTTGTTGTGGCTGTTGATACTGTGGTTGTTGTGGTTGTTGTGGCTGTTGATACTGTGGTTGTTGTGGTTGTTGGTATTGTGTTTGTTGATTATATTGCTGCTGCTGATAATTTTGTTGTTGGTTTTGCTGTACTTGTTGCATATTATTATCACCAGAATTCTCTTTCTTTGAATCAAGATGAATTTTAAAGGAGAGACCTGCTCCTAATATGAAAGTTATCAGGAGGAACCAACCAAAAACATTCGAAGCAATGTAAGACCCACAGATGGCATTCAGTTTGGAATTCGAAGAATCGGTATAATTGTAACATATACTGTCTTGCCCCTTGTAGGCCCAATATAGGTTCGTAAAGACTTTATTTAGAGGTAAATTTTTTAGTTAGTAGACATAATTTATCACCGATACAATAGAGTTAGACTGATCATACCTTCAGTGAACCATAATACAAAGAAGATACTAAAGAAGAGAATGCTTATGAATAAACACGAATTGAGTCGTAAGTACCAACAAGAATTAAGTGTACTCACGCGTCAAATCCGATAAAGTAAATCTCACGCCTCTTTTCCCAAATATACCCCGTGAAGAATAAGGCCAGATATGCAACTATGGCCAAAAGAAAATATCGATATGCAATTAATAAAAACATTAGGATCTTCGTAGATTATCTAATGAACGTAGACTTACCAACACCTAAAAATGTAATCAACATAACAATAAACACCCATACGACTGAACCCGCCTTTCCATAATTATTTCCTGTGAAATACTCATTAGAACCACCACTTCCATAGTACTCATTATAAAGGGAGGTGAAGTTAGCCGCTTGGACGATTTCTGTTTGAAAAAATACGGGATACTTTTTTAACTTTGTATACGTCATCATACTTTAGTCAAAAGTTTGTCAATACGAACCTAATATAACTATTAGTAAAACAAAAAGTAGCTGGACACCTTTTATGCCCAATAAAATGTGTTTAAAAGGAAGATTCATTTTTTTTTACAAAAGGTTAGCTCGCAATTGATATGAGCAAAGATATAGGTAGGAGTAGAATGAAAAAGCGAATCCAAACGTAAAAAAAAAAAAATTCAAAGCAATGGTATTTTAAAGATTTGTATCGAGAGAAATCCGTTATCATGTGAAACAAGATTCGCGTTACAACAAGTACAGTTCTTTTAAAAAATTCTATACACAGCATAACGTTTGCCGAATATAATACGAATCACCAAGCCAAATAATACGAATTGCCAAGCCAAACAATACTGCACATTACGCAACTACTCTGGCTATAAATGATTATGATATCCTTATTTCACGGACCCATGTGTGTATGCCCTGACACCAATTTTGTGAAACTAAATCTCTATGGTGGGAGGAAAGCCTAGGAATAGTAAAAAAACATCTTTGAAAAAAAGTCCTGAACAAGAGATATTTGGGTCAATTATTTTATTAAAAAAAGTTTTTTTTTTTTAACTGAATAATTTCTTGTCATATAGTCGACAATATACTTTTCACAATATATAAAATAGCGACTCTCCCAATTTCCCAAATGCTATTGATGTTACATCTGATTGTTGATATGATCGGACTTCCCTGTAGCATGTATCACAATACGCATACCCCACCCTGTATCAGTTTGAAAACTGCGTATAATAGCAACCTCATTCATTTTATGGCTAATTTTGGAATAATAAACTGCACCCTGATCGATTGTGCGACAATTAAAAAAAAAAAGTCTAACTATTACTGTTGTATTAGTAATAAAAGTAACACGATAATGATAGAAAATTAACAGTCGATTTTTTTTATTAAACCCGAACGTAAAATTAAAATTTTAAAATAATCCATTTTTTAAAAAACTTATATCATTATAGAATTCAACCTACCGTATTAACAATTATTATATAAAATCTCTACATTAATAAACCGAGATTTTTCTTTTTAATAATGAATGTTATATATAGAGTATATAATCAGTTTAATGTTAGTCTGTTTACAAAACTCTCATTTAATTAAACAAAAAATATATATTTAAACAATATACAATATAATGTTAAATAGTACAAACAATTTCTAATAATTAAATATAGTAGGAGGGGAAGAAAATGGAGATGCCTGCAATTCGGATCACGTGACCAAATGTCAGTTCGAGAATCGCGAAAAGAAATCAAGTACAACTATTTAATTAAGCGATAGAAGCCATTAGAATTCCTTACCGTTTTCTTGATGTTTCTTGTATTTTTGTTTTTCTTCTATCCGACTTTGGAAAAAAGTATAAATTAGCATATATAGTCTGTTACAAGAGTCTTTGAATTTTATTTTGACTTATAATTTTGTAAATAATTAATAAAACAAAAAAATGTTTATATATTTTTTATTTACAGTATATATTTAAAGATAATGATTATTAAAAAAATTCTTTATTATATTATAAAATCATTATTAAATTTAAATTTAAAAACAAGAAGTTTATTAAACTAATAGATCATTTTTTATTAACGATAAAAAAATAATTATAAAGTATTAAATTTTTTTAATAAATAAATTTATTAGATAATAACTAATAAAATTATATTTTTTATATTTTTATATTTAGATATTTATAAATTAACTATTAATTCTTTAAATTTTTTTAAAAGTTTATTTTTTGTTAAAAATTAATATATTAATATTTGAATTATAAAAATATATATATACATTTATATTAATAATTAATTAATAAGATTGTTTTTAAAAAAATAATTATATTAAAAAATAAATTAAATACAAATTAAATAAAATTTTATTATAAAAAATATTGTTTATAAAAATTAAAGGTATTATTTAATTTATATAAAAAAATTATAAAATATTGTTAGTCCTAAAAAATTGAAATTGAATAAACCCAATAAAATTTGAAACATTATTAAAAATAATAATAGATTATAACTTATATATTAAATTTAATATAAACCTGAGAATTAAAAATTAAATAGAATTAAATCATTAAAATTCTTATCTATAGTATAATAATAAATACTTTACAAATTAAATTATAGAATATTAATTGAATTTAAATAAAAATAGTTAAATAAAATTAAAATAATATTTAATATCATAACTTTTTAAGTATTGTTTCTTATAAAAATTAATTTATATTTAATTCATTAGATATTAAAATTATAAACTTCAAAAAAGTGATATAGTATAATAATTATTTAATTTATAATATTTAATATATAAAAATATTATAATTAGAATTAATAAAAAAAAACTTTATGACCTATGGGTCTATAGCTCAGTAGTAAAGCTTCATAGGTCACCAGGTGAAAGTCTAAGGTTCAAATCCATTTGGTTACAAAATTTATTACAATTCCTTCTTAATTAGACTGCATAAAGGTAAGACTTCTGGCCTTTCTGATAGTTATGGGGTTGCAACAGACCACATAAGGAAAATATTGCATGAAGAAAGATTTCTGGTCTAATTCCAGTTAAACCCACAATACATTACACAAAACACAATGTCAAATTTGGATCTACAAACTGGGCTGTACTCCATCCTAACCAATCCTGTTCGTCTATATAGAGATTAATTCTAGTCGATCAAGATCATATGAAAAGAATATAACCAGGATATATTGGATTAATCACTTCAAAAATAGCTATCCTGCACTCATACAGCCCTATAACCTGCTAGAAGTTAGCGTAATCCAGATCAGTGGCTCATTGAAAAAAGAATAGGACCATTAAGTTGAAATGGAGACTGCTGAAAAGATTTTTCTTACCCTTGTTACTAGTAGTGTTGATCAAACTGAGAGACCAATAAGGTGGGCCACTTTAAGAGTGTAACTGTCTCATTGAACACGAACTAAAAAAGGTTGATAAGCTAGCATTTAATTGTAGTCATGTATTACAAAGAATATTTGATGTAATAAGTATTGAATTCCAATAAAAATTTGCATCTAATGCCGTTTAACCTTAAAATAATAATAATAATAATAATAATAATAAACTTTATTAAATATAAAAAAAACCAAATAACTATATTATTTTCTAAAAAAAAAATCTTTTTTATATAAATAAATAAAATAATAATATATAATTAAATATAATACATATAATCTTATTGGTTCTTTGAAAATTTTTTAATATTAAAGTGAAGTATTACTCATGATCTTTATTAATAAAGCAAAAGTTTAACTTGTTACATAATTAATATTAATATATGAGTTATATTACTATAGATATTAACCTACCACCTATTAAACAAATATATTATTTGAAAAAACCCTTGAGCAGGGAAAACCTGAGAAACTATTTGTTATAAAAAATAAAAAATAAAAAAAACATTTGGAGCAAGATTACCGGTATTGTAAAATATTTGAGTAGAAAGAAAAAGAAAGAGAATATATTTAAGTTGTAATGTTGTTTTGATGTATAGAGGTAATACAGAATATGATTAATGTTTTGTGTGTTGTAGATCATTTGATAAGGTAAACTAGTTGTGGATTTTGTATTAAAATTTATGAATGAGGACTGATAACTAGTCAGAAGATTATGTGAAATCTTGCACTAGTTACTATCAGCAGAAAACAAAAAAACTCTAAAAAATAAAATGCTGTCTCTTGAGAATGTGATTGTTTTTGAGTTAGAAATAAAATATTCATCAACTCTGTTCCAAGTTATTGCCCAGTGCCGTTATCAGTTACTAGACCTCTTAGTGCAAGCTCCATTGCTGGAAACTCCAGGGCCAATCTTATCCTTGAAACCCCCACTGCTCTAAATCAGTTCTCCGGTCTATGTCCTCTCCCAAAAAGACATATTCCACTAAACAAAGTTCCTTGGAAGAAAGAAGCTTCCTAAAAAGGCAATTTTCTACAAATGGAGGTGTTGTGGATAAGAGTTTTTTTTTGGTTCTCTGAAAATTATATACATATAATAAAATATAAAAATAAATAAAAACAAATAAAAATCAATAATAAATATTAATTAATACAATTAATTAATACAATACCAAACTATTTATATAAATAACACTTATAATTTAAATAAGTCAAATAATATTAATAATAATTCAATATTTAATTCTGGTTATAATCTTATAGAGTATAATAAATATTCATAGATTTTATAAAAATATATTCTTATTAATATTTTAAGTTCTAAATTTTCCAAATACCGTTTGAATTATTGTATTCCAATTATAATACTTACTTTATTTGTTTATAATACTTATTTATTATTTGTATTATTATACAGTTAATGTTATAATAATTGTTAAAAATAAGAATATGATATATTTAATAGTATTAATAGGGTTATATTTTATTTTAACCAATTCTAATTAATACTTGTTCTATAGTAATTGAAACTTCAGCCTAAACTATCTTAATTTAAAAGATAATACTTGTTACAAGTAATAAAAAAAATTATAATTAATATACAATAGTATGAAAAAAAAACTGGAATTTTTTTAACACATATTTTTATTAATAAATTAATATAAAACTATTTAAATGTTATGAAACTTTATAAATTTGTTTTTAAGATAAAAATAAGAAAAACCATATAATTACTTATTAATTTTCATATTAAC